TCATCATTAATACATAGAGATTACTTTATAAAAATCCCAAATAAAAATGATATTAATATGAGAAACTTATATTAATATTATTTTTTATTTCATCGTAGTTAACGATAATGGAGAAGAATATGTAATTACTACCTTACTTCCGCGATGGAGGTAAACAAGCATCGTTTTTTAAAATTAGCTCCACTGGTGAAAAAAGCCGCTTTGGTCTTTTGAAGTGATTTGTATATTTGTACCATGTTATATTAGTAATATTTATTTTTTTAATTTTTAAAAAAACTATTATCATTGTTTTACTTCAATCAGATTATCCCGTTAAATTTGAGGTTTTGTTTTGAGACACTCTACTATAAACAAAGTGTTCCCTGATTCATTCATATTTGTGAAATGCAGTGAACATTTATTTCTTTTTGTGTATCAATGTTTCACCTCTGTACAAGTCGGCGGAATTATTTTAGTTACTCTATATTTATCTTTGCCTTGACGTATTCGTGTTTTGGTCGTTATTGAGATGAGATTAGTTCATTGAAACATTGGTGATGTCTTTTGTATAACGGGTCACTTCGTTCGACGTATCTTTTGTTTGCCAAGTTCTCCAAGAACTTGTTTTCTATCTTTTTCTATTTTGGTTGGCTCTGTCTCCGATGTTTCATTTGTTGCTCTTTTGTCAGTCCACTCGCCCTTTTATCTATTTATTGCTGCCACAGTAACTTTTCTGGACTTCGTTCTGACAATTCTGTTTTCTGTATAGTTGCTTCAACACAGACTTGTAAACTGCGGTGTCACTCATTTTCACTTGGATTGTGCATCATGGAATTTAAGTCATTTATGTATTGTCATTAATCCTCGCCTGCCGATACAACGATCTTATTTTTTCTTGAACAAACTTATTTTGGAATATTTTTTTGAACTCATACCTGAAGTATCATTATTTATTGCTTGTCTTAAGCTATGTCTCTGTCCTCAGCTGTTCTTTGACGGCTTTGTGCAATTTATTTTGAAGGAATTCTTTTACATTTCAATAATCATTAAAAATTCTCAGCGTTAACATACTGTCTATGTTTGCTGCCTTGTTTTTTCATATTCGGCTTCCTTTGATGCTCCCATTGTCTGAGAATTTAATTCCCGTGTTAATGTGGTCTCTATAAATATAGCAATGCAGATGCGTTGTCTTAGCATTCTGTCAACATCCTATATTTCCAGGAAATTGATCAATTGATTGCGAGGTGAGAATGCTTGTCTGTTTTTCTTTTTTTGTTTTAGTTTTTTGTACCATCTCTAAATAATATATATATATATATATATATATATATATATATATACCACTGACCGCTCTAGGTCAAGATCTTTTGCCTACAGTAATAGGATCATCTGCTATGTAATATCTCATCTACGTGGAAGAATATTTCAGACAATCTGCTCATAGATAAAGAAATTTGAAGCGACATAAGTACACTGACGAATGCTAAAAATATCATAGACAGAACTTGTGAGCAATGGTAAAGTCTTAAAGAAAACAGGAACTACAAATAAAGCTACAATCAGAAAGAGACACTTAAAATTGCTGGGAAGCATAATGAGAAAATAGGATGATTTATCATTCACAGAGTGTATTGAAGGCTCATAGATAAAGAAATTTGCAAAGGGAAACAGTGAATAACCTATTTAACGAACTTGTGTGAATGGATAGCAGAACACGTACAAAGAGGGATGGTAAATGTTCGAAACTTACTTAGAACAACAAAAAACAGGAAGTTGTGGAGAGCCATAATCGTTAAATGACATTTAAATAAATAATTAGTACATATCAGATTCTGCTTAGTTTCCGTGTGGAATATATGTCTTTCAATGGATAAAATGATCGAGAGTAATGTCGTGAATATCCAATCTGCGAGGACAGATTTAACATTCGATTGATTTGCCTATAAGCTTTGGGAAACAAATTTATTCTTCGTTTTGAATCAACAAATTTGGGCTCCATAGCATATTATCGGTTTTTATGATGGGCAGTAACTTCAGCTTTACTATATAACTGATAATCATGATTAAGGCATTCTTGACGATGACGATGATGACGGTAGTGCTATTAAGAGCAACTACTGTGATGAGTTAACAAAACATCATGAAAGTAAATTTATACGTAGGAACAAGCAGAAAATTTAGCGTGCTGCTGCTGATGATGATTATTGTGACGACGATCATGAAACGTACAGTGATAATTACATAAAATAAATTAAAAATATGATGAAAAATACGAAGGTTATAGTGTGACAAATTTAGCCACAGTGATGACAGATTAAAAATAAACTGTTAGTCTCTTAGCAAATCTGCATTATATCATAACAGAGTAGACATTTCTGTGTATATTTTCAGATGGTTTTGTGAACAGAATTATAATTTCTGTTGAGAAGTGTATTTATGATAATTATATTGATTTTTAAAACTGTAGATTCATATTCTTATTTATTTTATTATTAGTATAGTGAAGTTGCATGTCATGGTTAAGAGTTGGTGTCTATAGCTTTGACAAAGAAAAAAAAACAAAACAAAGTTACTGCCCTAAAATGAAATGATCTTAGGTCAAACAAATCATTTTGCTTGAACGTTATTATTTTTGGATACTGTCTGCTTGTTTGTTTGTTTTTTTTTAATACATATTCTCCTATCGCTGAGTTAACAGGCCTATTTGTTTGATTTCCAATTGATCAAACCATTGGTCGTAATACTCTGACTTAACACACAAACCCAACTACCCCACCTCTCACCTGATTTGTTTTGTTGTCTTGTGATTCTGGATCATAGCAAGTAAAAACATTAATATTGTGCTCACAAATAAAATATAAAAGTGTAAATGGATCATATAAAGCTGCTACAAGTAAGCTGAAAATTCTATCTGCATATGGGGATTATTTAGTTATGTACTTTATTAACGGCGATTAGAATAAATGATGTGAAAAATGTGTAACAATGACTGAACTATGACTTTACTTAAACGACTAAAAAAGAAAAGATAAACATATCGTCTATAAAAAGAGAGAAAGAATCAAATGTGCATATTAAAAGCAATGCAAGAAAGAGATGAAAACCGTACACTAAAATACCTTAAAGGTCTTTAAAAAGGTGAAATGAGAAGCCGACTGTACAAAACAACTTCTACAGCAGATTGGAATGAACATAATAACCGAGCTAAATGTCACGATTTACGTTGAATTATGAGCAGAATGCATTTATTCAGGTCAAAAGCGTATAAGCAAGAATAACGGACTAGCTTGTGAAATTAGATTAGAGAGAAATGTTTTTAATCTAAAATTAAACGTAATATTACACATAGATAAGTTTAACGATATGAACGAAATACAGACTACGCTGAGTGATATATGAAAAAAAAAAGAACAACAGTCGTCAAAACAGCGAAAACTAGATGAAGAATATTAACCTAAGTAGCAAAATATATAAACAGAGAATTACAATTTATATATGAAACTGGAAATAAATAAAAAAAAAAAAACGGTCATTAGTGACAAAAAATCTGGAACGAAATATGGTGATGTCAAAAAAAAAAAAGCAGAAATTTAAACAAAAGAAAAATCCATAGTACTGAAGAGAGAACATCAACATGAATTATTCTTTCCTTATAAACATTCTAAATGGAAACTGCCAAGACTCAATAGAATCCATAGATATTGGAATCCGTACTACAAGAGAAAATAGTTCAATAATTTCAAAATTGTTTGGAGAAAAAAGAAGATCCAGAATGGATGATCAGAGTCGTAATAATAATGGACCAAAGATACTGGCAAAGGAACCGAGAAGAGAAACTATAAAACGACCAAGGGCCTTCCATTGATATGAAAATGCCTGACTGAACAAATAGAAGAAGAATATAACAGGTTTCCACTCGATTCAGATGATTTATATTGGAAAAAAAGAACTGATGGAGAAATGATAGACTGAAAGATTTGCTCTACATTAACGAGATGATTCTGATGGTAATCAAGATAAACTATACAGTTGGATGGATTCACTGCAGAAACACATACTAAATGATGCTTCATATATGGACCACCGAATATCAAAAGATATCCCAGAGTAACAAAACAATAGCTTACTTTATAAAAACTTGGAAGGTGAGTTTGAAAGATAATTCTCACCAGAGCTAAGTATTGAAATGACCTTTTCTTGTTTCCACTATTCTTCTTAACATCACTCTAATATCACAGAACCTAATCTTGAAAAACTGTTAAGGCTGCCAATTCACGAACATAAAGTTTACCTAATGTAAACGGATAAATATATAAAAATTACCAAGAATGATGATGAACTGAAAACGTTAATCAAAATAATTAAGTAAAACTGAAATTGAATTGAATTTGAATGGAGAATGCGCACTGACTTGCAATTCAGAATGGAAGAGAATTATCTAAAAATTTACATTTAACTAAGAACCTAGAACTAAAATGCAACTCAGGAAAATAAGAAGAAATGGATGATAAATTAAAAAATGTGTAACTCAAGAGAATGAGAAATAGTACAAGAAAGAAGAGAAAGCATCAGAAAAAATTGTTAAACGGGACAAACAGTACCCAGAGTCCTTCGTAAATGAGATAAAAAGGAACAGATACTAGGGCAGTATTAGAAACTGATGTGAAAACACGCAAATACATAAATTATTATTATTATCATTATTGCAGGTAACAATTGTGAAAATAATGATGATGATGATGATGATGATGATGATGATGATGATGATGGTGATGATTATACGCTTACATATCATGGTTTTGGCACTAATGGCAAAGATACTGGATGATGTTTTCAAGAACAAGTAGTAGGAAAAAGTAAATATGTATAATAATAATAATAATAATAATAATAATAAAGACGCGATACGTTCTTTTTTCCTCAAAAGAACTTTTTAAATCACTCGAAATAATTGTTGGTAACAATGAACATAATTACAGCTATTTACGACATTGGAAACGAAAAAAAAATCCGCCTTCTACATGATTCGCAAATTACGCTTTTTTTGTCATTGTTCTCATTTATTGATCTATTCTCAATTTCTTTCTTTTTTTTTTTCGTTGTCTATCAGTGGACATCGTTCCATTTCACACATTGCCCTTTCTAAGTGCATCTATCTATCTATTTATCATCTATCTATCTAGCTAGCGATAGATAGATAGATAGATAGATAGATATTCTGACAGAGAGAGATAGGAACGTATATATTTTATCTATGTTACTGTCTACATATACCATCGCCTTCTAACATTTATAATTCTGTTTCTCCAAATCTCTCACTCATTATTCATGTTCCATTTTTCTTTTAGTTTTCTTTTCATCATATTTTTAATTTTCTCTTTGCTCTTCACTTGTTTCTCTTGACCTTTTCATTCTGTCCTTTAACTTTTATTTCTCTTTTTCGCTACTATAGCGTCTCACTCTTTCTTTTTGTCGCCTACATTCCGTTTCTTTCTTTCATTTCCGTTTTCCTTTTCTTTAAGAGTTGTTTGTCTATATTTCTGAGATGAGGTATTGTAATTATTTACATTGTTCGGGCTGTTGTCCTAATCTTTATTGCCATATTCACGACATTTCTGCTGTTGTACGCTCCGGTCTTCTTCAGGTGATTGAACTTTCGAGCTGAACCCTTTATTTCATCCACCGGGGTAGAGTGTTCTAATTTCACGTGTCATGGTTCTTTCGGATGTCTCAGTTATCTCCCTTTAACTCAACTCTCCAAGTTTGGGTTCACCACTGCAGTAGCCAGGTATTGAACTCACAACTCTTTGGGTCAAGTCACTGGATACAACCAACGCTTTTATGCACTGGGCCATGTGTCCAATCACCTAAAGAAGGCCGGAGTGTACAACAGCCGAAACGTCATGAATATGACAATAACGATGAGGACGACAGTTCCAATGCAAATAAGGAAGAGTTGTTATTCCGTATTTAATGAAATAAAATTTAATTTCATGTCCCTCCATATCATCACAAACACTAAATTTTCTAAATCCCCCAGGTCTTATGTTCCAGTTCTATTGCTATTTTATTGAGATCTATCTATCTATCTATCTATCTATCTATCTATCTATCTATCTATCTGAAAGTGATTTTTTCTCCCTTTTATCTTTATATGCACTAATCACCTATTTTAAAACGACACACAACTAATCTAGGGCAGCTTTATGTCATCATTTTCTAGAATAATAACTTTTAGCATCCGATACTCTATGCATCTCCATAATGATTTGCTTACAACCATCGCATTTGAAATGGAAGTCGACTGAATAAATGACCTTAAGTTCGACAGCTTTATAGATCGTTCCCTGTCCACGTGCACTCGATTTGACAGGTGAATGCTGCTTAAGACAAACTATAGCAGAATTCCAATAAGGGATCACAATAAAATAAGTAGAACAGAATGTAGGTAAATTTAGAATATAATGCCGTAAAACTACTTTATTATGTCAGGTTTCAGTCGAAATAACCTTGACGACTGCCATAGCATCAATTATCAGCCAATGATATGACTGAAGAAAACAATATACAAAATACATAAACTAATTTAATATAGTTAAAAATTTAAAAATTATAAATTCGCAGAAGATTGCTGAGTTAAACAGACACCTGAAGAAGATCGGAAAGTCGGATGGCCAGTCGCAAATATTCCATACCACAATGTAAGTACTTTAAATGTGACAATACCGCTTCTGTATTTCCCAGCCATTCTGTGTGTGTATACACACCCGCACACACACACACACACACACACACATACACACATATATACATATATGTATGTGTGTGTGCGCGCATGTGTGTATAGATAGACAGTAGTTGAAATCTAAGGAATTTGTCGATATTCATCCAACTTCTTCGCGAACAAGCAAAGCCAACAAAACCGTTATATCCTCTCACTGAATTTTTTTTTAAAATAATTATTTACAGATATTTCATACATTTAACATGAGAGTTATAATCGTTTGAAAGAAATGAATATATATCTGTATCTTTACAGATATACATGTGTGTGTGTGTGTGTGTGTGTGTGTGTGTGTGTGTGAGGATAAAGTAAATGTGGTGGCAGCTACTATCCTATTAATAAATATTTCACCCTAACCCTACCACCATAAAAAGTACTTTTTTAACAGAGCCAAGGTGTCTTGCCTGTATTTGGAAACTAAGTAATTAAAAATTCACTATGAATTAAATTACTTCTACTCATACACATCATTATATAGGAAAGAAATTCACTAACCATCTTTGTTAGCACGAAAATTATCCGTCTTGAAAATGACCAAAGTATTAATGGAAAGTACGTGAGACAATAATCATTGTGGTCAATTCCTCTACACAATTAGCCTCTAAAAAAGAAAAAAAAAAGGATACAACTAAAATTGTATAAAAAACGTACAAAATATTCCTTGTCCGTCATATTCAAAGAAACATATGTAAAGAAAGAATTGCTGCCTAAATATTTAATATTCGCATATGACATCGATGTGTATATGGATCTCATAGGCACAAATATATTACAAGAATGTTTTCAATGATATTTTTTTTCATTTTTATGTTTCTATGCGTGTGAATATAGATAAAGGTTTCTAAGAAATAAATCGCTTGACAGCGCACCGTAGGAACTAGAAAAGACGTTAAGTCCCTGAATAATCCAACATAAAATGGAAGACAAAGAGGCATTCGATCTATGATCATTTCTGGTTTCATGCACGAATCATTAATCCCGGGTATACGTCATTTCGGCTTCGAAACTCCTGAACAACAGACAGCAAGTCATGCCGTCATTTCAAATCATTCTTTTTCATTTTTTTTTTTTTTTTTATTAATGTGAAACATTTGTTTTTATGTATTGTGATGGAAATTCAATTTTTCATGACGAATAAAAGCTTATAGAAGAAATAAATTAAAAGTCAATATTCCATAACAGCAAAAGGCACATATTTTTATCGAGAGAACCGTCTGAGATTAATGACCGAGCAAAAGAATATAATTAATCATAGTCATATTCAGTGGCAATGTATTTGCAAGGATACAAGAAGAGTAAATGATAAACTGCCAATGAGTGACCAAGGTGACCAAGACTTGCCGATATGAGATCGGTTATCATTTCCTGTTAAGTATAACTCAACAAATTTCAGTTAACTTAAATGAATGTGAAGGAACGAATACATTTTAATACCCTTGATCCTTGTTGTGTTTGGGGTTGCCTAACTTCAAAACAGTCTAAGAACTCATGCTAACCAATGTCAATCGCCTAAATAAGTTTAGATGAGCACACGCGTATCAAAATTGAAACTTGTATAGGTGGAAGAAAAGCCACCTGGAGTAAGATTAACCTCAGGGTAATTTGCATCGTTACCCTGGAGAATTGGTGGCACATAATGGGGAAGGTACCATATACTTTGCAGTAGTGAAAATGCAAAAATAAATAACTTCGCACCAGATACTAGTGTAAATTTTCAGAGATAATTTGGAGGCTATACATTAGCGGGAACATGTAGGAACAAGATATTATAATACAGGTAGTTATATTTCGACTCATATATATATATATATATATATATATATATATATATATATATATATATTGTTACGAACTTGTAGCATATAGATGAACCACGGGTTCTAAAAAAAAGGAAAACGTGGTTTCTTTTCTCGGTCTTCACTCAGAATTGGAAGCGACACAAGGGAATCAACGAAGAACAGACACAAGACGATGGATTTCAAAATTAAACATTTATTTATAAATATATATATATAACGAAACAAAGAAGAAAAAAAAAGAACATTCATTTAACAAGGGGGGGGACATCATTAAAGAATAGAAGGCGCGAGCGAATACATACATATATGAAAATAGATCGAGCCAAAAGAACCAACTTATCTTGCAGTCGGGTTGGTATCTTCACATAAAGTTTTGATTCGCCGAAGCGAGAGTTCTGATGATAAAACAGTATCTTGGCCGGCCGACAATGTTCCTGGATTCTTCTTCTTTTCGCAAGTGTTCGTGGGTCCCCAGCATTTCATACAGGCATTTGGTTGGGTTGATCAGTCCATAGCAGCCTTTCCATCACTAGTCGATAGACTTCGTGGTCTTCCTCATCTCAGTGGGCGGTCTGACGATTTTTTGCCCAGCGACGTTCAACTGCCGCTGGTTAGAGGAAACTAAAAACCCTTCTTTGGTTTTCGCTGTCCCCAAAGACAGTCACGTGGGCTCCCTTCGTCCTTGACCGGGTACGCAGGAGAATAGGGCGCAAATCACGCAGTGCTTGTGTGATGGCCAAAAGTTCAACGCATGCTCCGTACGTCCCGATCACGTGAATCGCAGCAGGAGACCCTGATGGTGTCTGGAATTCACTCATGGTCAAACGCGAAATCTTAGAACCAGGTCATCCTCGCGTCGGGTCACTTCTAAGTTCACGGGCCCTTGGCTCGTGAGTGGAAGAGAGGATAAGGAGAGAAAGAATTTGTGAAGAGAAGAGGGGTGTATGGCTGATCATAGAATATATTCGCTCTCGCGAATCGGAAGCATTGGATTAAATTTCTGTTTTATCTATTTATTTATCTTTCTTTTATATCTAACTAGTTTTCTCTTTATTTAAGATTTTACTTTTAGCCCTAACGCCTACATGGTTAATGAAATCGTTGCTATGTGACAATATATATATATATATATATATATATATATATATATATATGTGTGTGTGTGTGTGTGTGAATTAAATTTAATTGTATTGATTCTAGTGTAAGAATAACAATTTCATTTAGCAAATGTGACCGTTGTGTGTGGTTGAATTGGTCCACATTCATGTTGTTTAGCCCATCGTTTTGACTTGCATGAATTATTATCAGGAGTTGTGAATGTGCGAGGAAAAGTGTGTTTTATGACGTAGATTGCAACATTCTTTGCAAATGCTGTTATCATTATATAAAAATCAAATGTAGCTAAACTCAGTAAGTCATAATAATTTTTAAAATGTAATATGTTAATATTGAATTAAAGTAAATTCCAGTGTATTGTTATAGTTCTATTTACTTTTAATTAGTTGCCTCCAAAAATCAATACTTGATGTTTTAAAAAAATGAAAAATCTTTCTTAAAGTTTTAATTTTAGTTTTAATTCCAAGCTAATAGATGAAATTTAGAATTCCCAATGTATTTCAAACAGAATTTAAATTGATTGGAATCATTTTTCTGATTATCAGTAAAATATAAATATTCACCTATATTGATAAGTCTGTTAACACAACGTATTTCTCTTTATTAAAAAATCTTTCAAAAATAAAATCAACTTTTCTGAGACGTTACTTGAGAAAAATAGCTGATTTAAAGTCTCATTAATCTAAATTGAAACAAATATTATTTACTTTTAGTTTAAAATCTCGCAGAAAAGCATCTTTTTTTAAGAAGGGATTTTTTTGACGTGGTGAGTGACTTATTGACAGCTTGCTGTTTAAAGAAGGGCGCATAATAGAAATAAAATTGCATGACGAATATAACGTAAAAGCTTTTTATATAATCTTTTAATCCCCAGTAATCTTTAAAATTTTAAAAATTTTAAGAATTCTAATATTTTATTGAATTTTGGATACCCTGGCTTACTTAAGAGGACGTTTGTTGAAGAAACGTTAGGAAATTATCAATAAATTATTTTTTTCTATAGATACCGTTATTATTTTATGAAAATTTCGTGTATGAATGACCGTATTTACAAAATTCGACACGTTTATATACATATAATATAAATTCAAGATTATTTTTAAAATACTGCGTGTCGTTGAACTGTTGTGAACGTTTCCATTTAAAATTGGTAAATACAGTTTTAATTTAATAACAAAATCGTCCTACCGCTACAAATTAATACAGAATCTTAAAAGCTTTAAAAGTTTATAAATTATTCTCATTAGAAAATTTAATGAAATGAAAATAATTCTTTAAAAATTCATTATTTTTGCAATATTCATAGATTAATTTTTGTTAAGGTTTAGTTTCAATTATATATATATATATATATATATATATATATATATATATATATATATATATATATATATAATTGAAATTAAACCTTAATAAAAAATATATATATATATATATATATATATATATATATATATATATATGTGTGTGTGTGTGTGTCTGTATATATATATATATATAATTGAAACTAAACCTTAAAAAATTAATTATGAATATTTGCACAAATATTATAAAAAGTTTACATTACATATAATAAAATATCAAGGACTAAAGTAATATTTTCTCATACTATTTTCTTCTTTTTTACCTCCACTAGAGCGTAATGGTGAAAAATTAACAGTCCTCATTCCACACATAAAATATCAGATGAACATAGCAATTTTGTCTTTAGAAATAATAAACACTACATTTTTGTCATAAAAACGCACCATGTGGATGACATTGTGCTGATGTTTAAAGACCTCGGAATAAAAGAAAATGTATCAACACAGTAATTTTCTCTCTTCTTTTAATACCGACACTAAATATCTCATCCGAGAATATGAACGTATCCTACTGAAAATAAAGAGACAAAACTTGTCAAGATTATTCAGCGAAACTTGCCTCAGTGAAAACATGCTGCCAAAATACACATATACACTGTATATCTATATATATATATATATATATATATATATATATATATATATATATATATATATATATATATATATATATATATATAGTAGTTTTTAATTTTAATTTTAATTTCAAGTTTTATCGTAAAATTTAATACTTATTAGTTAGAATAAATTCTATTTTAGTATAAACCTAACTTTAAATCATTTAATATTTATTATAACCTTTCTTCGTTGTCAAGATTTTTGAATTCTCGTATAATTGTATTTTGATTGGTCATTTCAGCTAACGTGACAGCGTTTCCCCTTATGAGGGGTGGTTAATTAATTTGAACCTTTTAAAACCTTTATTCTACATTCAACATCATCACTTGATAAGACACAAGATGTGTTGAAACAAAATGACTATTATTGTAGCGATTTTATAACCTATTTATGTTATAATTTTTAAATAAATAATTATATCCGCTCTACTCTGTATTGAGCACTCTTTTAAGAATGATAACTGCTGGTTATTGGAATTTATTCCGTATACACCAATCATATACTTGGATATATATATATATATATATATATATATATATATATATATATATATTAACATAAGTAAGCAGCTCTTAAAATGAGTCTCCCGAGAATGCACACCGGAAAGAAAAAGTGCTCAACGCCATACAACATGGTAGAGTTTTTTTAAAATTACGAATTAAATTTCAGGCCTACAGTGTCCGACCACTACTGTAAGTTTCATGCTTTTACGCAATCATCAGACGGTCGGCAGCTTTAGTGCAAAAATGGGAACCTTTATTCCCCCAGGCAAAACTGAGATGGAAAACAAAGAATATGGTCGGTGCACCCTGCACACACTGACCAAACTCACCTGGAGTGGGGAAAGCACCTATCCGACCAAGATCAGATAAAACCGTAAACGCACAATTGTACCCCACTCCCCGAAAAAAAAACCAGAAATAACATCGCGGTGCAGGTGCCTAATGCTTTTAAGCAAAAAAGTGCTCAACAGAGCAGGACCGACAAAGACACCTATGGCAGAGCTTTCTAATGTTAATGGAAATAAACATCTCTTATTACATGCATACATACACACGGTGATGAGCGAAGTTTGAAAATGTAACATTTGCGCTAAAATTCATTCATTTTACCGTCGGTGTAGACAGACAAAGCCGTAAATCAATGAATCTATTGATTCTTCTATGAAGCAGACGTTCACAGAAACTTTGCTTTATTTCAAGTTTAAAGAAGATGAAATTAAAAACAAATGGATTCAGTCCATGAAAATGGTATGATGGGAACGGTGAAGAGAAGTCGAATTCAGTTTTGCAAAATAAATATACATGTTGCGTTACAAGTGCATTTCTCAGATTTTCAATGTTGCAAATGTATACAAATGCATTGTATATCCAATAATAGCTTCATCGAACGTGATAAGCCACATAACAAAACTGATAATTAGGTGTCTAATGAATAGAACTCTTTGCAAAGTTAGACCAGTGTAGCTGCCCGGAATAATCTTCTCCCAAAGTATTCCCGCATATAGTTTAGCCTAGTCCAGAATAACTTCCGGTGTATTATTGGGACTAACCTACTAATAACTCGCGTGTTTATAATGAAAACTTAAGGTTCTTCATCTTTCAATGTCTACCATTAGGAAAAAGAGGTGTACTCTGGTTATATTCAAACTTAGCCCATATTATAACCGAGGTGAAAAGCTGTTCTAACCTAACTTAGAGTATAAAAATGCCTAACCTAGAATAATCCTGGATATACTCTGGGTTTGGGGTATATTTTAAGCTCTTACATTGGCGTTCGATAAAGAATGACAATAATCCATTTTGAAATATTGGGTAATCTAGATAATGTGTAAAAGATATTCATGTAATCACATGTGGATAGTAAACGAGTTCAGTGAATGGAAAAAAACCCAGAAAGGGGTCAGATTTATTTAAATTGCACAACGACGTTAGAATAACGTCATATGCAATTTAAATAAATCTGGCAGATAAATGAAGCAGAGAAGAACTATCAACTACGCAGATAGCACTATGTTGATAGAAAATTGAGAAGAAAAACGCAAAAAGGTACTCTGGGTTGAGTTAGTTGTGCAAATCAAGAAGGATTAACCAGTAACTGCATAGTTATCAGCAAAACAGACAACGCTCAGATTCTGACGTAGCTTAGATTGTGTAGAAACTTAAATTGGAAATATAAAAATATAATAGATGCGGTAATTTCGTTATCGAGGCAACGAAAAATATGAATCAGAAATATGAAGGTGCATAAGAATAGCAAAATATGCCTTCCAGTTTTAAGGAATTGTAAATAAGCATAGAAACAAAGAAAATAGTAAGGAACCGATATCTCATCTAAAACCTCCTCTATTGGCAATGAATACCAGACAATTTCTTCGCAGTGACAGAGCAACGTACTTTTATCGACGAATGACGAAAATACTATGAATAGGTGATGTTATTAATGAGGAAGTTTTCAAGAATTTAGGAACTAAAAAGGAGTCAATATCTACAACCAATAATAGACAGCTGAAAAGTTTTGGAAAATAATGATAAAAGAATATTTTGAGAGTAATATTCATTGGACATACTGATAGAAAAAGAGGCAAGTGGAGAAGGTCGTGTAAAACGTACTTTGAATAAATGAATAGAGGAATAAGTCATACAAAGACTAGGAGACGTAAATAAAAGAACAAGATAAAACAACGGCCATGACATTTAATTAATTTTTCTTTAACTATTCAAATGCTAAATATGATTATAAACAGAAACAAACGGAACAAATGCCGTTGGGTAGGTGGAGTAAGACTAAGAGCAAAATGATCATTTGTCAAACGCTAAGAAAAAAAAAACAAAAAACAAAACAAAATAAAAACATAGGAGACACAAAGGATACCGACCTTGAGAATCATGGTTGATATTTTATGAGCGGATACTTGCTCTATACTTAAATAAGCCAGGCGATATTAAGATTCACTAAATAGGTTGTTCATAAACAGGAGAAAGAAAACGTAGAACAGAAAAGCTAAAAATGAAATCTCTGATTATAACAGTATTCTCGATATCATTGAAATGCCTTAATATTTCCATATAACTGATACACTCCAGATTTCTATCAATAGAAATTATTTTTAAACGGTTTCTCTTGTAACTCTGGGTTGTCTGTGTAGTAGACAACATCTATGTCGCTGCGTTTTTTAATTTTACTCGCTATCTATCTATCTATCTATCTGTCTATCTATCTATATATCTATCTATCTATCTATCTATCTATCTATCTATCTATCTATGTCGCTGCTCGGTCACAGTTACATAAATATGACAATCTATACACATGTGCATGCCTACGTATATGTGTTATTCATTCAATGGAAAAGAGCACCTAAAATAAATTTCACATGGTACTTATTAATTTACGTACCAATTGCTATCATGTCTCTGTAATTATTATCAATAATGTATTGAGACATTGACTATGTCAGCTTGAAAAAAGAAGAAAATGTAAGAGTTTAATTAGTGAAAGCAGTAAAAGAATCTGTTTGCCTCGCTGTGTACCCAGATTATTGACTCTACAGAAGAAGGATCAAGGAGTCGATCTGTAATTTCGTATTAACGCCTTTCTAAAAGGCCTGGGTATAACTTACATTGTACAATCTTATCTAATTACAATCATCTGGGCCATGATCTTGTCTAAACCAGACGAAAGAGGGAAAATTGAGAAAATTTGGCACTCTACACTGATATTTAATCAAAACATATTCTTCCTTAAATTTCGTCCTTTACGGTTTGCAGTGAACAAACAATGTCATTGTTTAGTAAGAGAACAGCACACCTAGAAAGTGACGCTGGGGGACAAATATAGAAGTCCCAATGTACCTATCATGGCACCTAACCCGATAAGGACATATCAGGTACATTAATAACAGCCAAATGTGTGAGATATGGCAACAGATTTTAACAAAAGCAGTGCATAATCTTGCATGTGGGCTCAATCTGTTCAAATTATTGAGGATGATCCCAAGTACTTAAACGTGGATCCGAAGGCGTTTTGACAAAATAATCCTTCAAACTTAAAAAAAACCCCTCTCAGCACCTGGGAACGATGTTCCTTCACTACTTCCGCTCATGAAGAGAGATGTATAGTGATTCACCGATAGGCGACATGTGCACCTGGTTATATTCAGGCAAGTGATAAGCAAATCTGTGATATTGAATTGGATATTTATTATTATTATTATTATTATTATTATTTGTGCATGTTCCTGCTTTGTATTCTGTAGAGCCGGGTCCAAACTATGGTCCTTAGGCACTATAGGAGAATTGTCATTTAATTGATAGCATTTTTCTTAGTATATGGGATGTTCCTAGTAGGGCGATCTTTTGGGCAACTTGTATGTTGATGTTATCTGGAATACTGTTAGTAAAATTGTCCATTCTTTTTCTCACGAAGCCCAGAACTACGATTTGCTATTGGGACAGTCTCAATTTTTATTCCCCACATCCTGTTAATCTCGGTCTCTAGGTCCTTGAATTTGGAGAATTGCTCAATGATTTTCATAGGGATGTTTCTCTCATATGGTACTGCTATGTCAATAAGCACACACTTTCTGAATTTCTTGTTTTGATGTTAATATCAGGTCTGTTGCCTTTTATTTCCCTGTCAATTTGAATTGGCATGTCCCAGAGGATAGTTACATCGTTATTTTGAATAACTGTGTCTGGTTGGTTCTCATGCCATTTCTCAGTGGTTTCGATTTTGTGCTTCTTGCATATCTTCCAGTGCACATATTTCGCTACCTTGTTATGTCTGCGGGTATATTCATTTTTTGCTAGTTCCGGACATCCTGAGATAATATGGTCGACAGTTTCATCATATTTTACGCAGATCCTGCAGTTCGGGTTAGTTCCATCCTTGATTATGTGACAGTGATAGGATCTAGTTGGGAGGCTTTAGTTCTGAGGTGCAATAATTAGGCCTTCTGTCTCAGTTTTCAGCACGGTGCTCCTCAATCACTGATGGTTTTTCTGCTGTTCCACGCCTGCTTCTTTCGTTCTTTTTATGTATTTTTAACGCAACGCCTTGTCTTCCCAGTCTTTTGTAATTTCATTTGGCCAATTTGTTTTGCTTTCTGTTTTACTCGTTTGGCGTAGATGGTATCCGCTAGATTTTTTATTGGTAGGATTTTGGGTATATTAAACAGCTGCGTGAAGAGTGCAGCTTCTTTGTTAATGGAGTGGATTTGATGTTTTACTATTTTAGGAGAGGATCACTGGTTTTGTGAGGTAGGCTTCCAATCCGATTGTTGTAGTTTTAAGAGTTAGTTCAAGTTGGATTCGACCTCGGCCTTCTAAAGCTATTTGTACCTATCAACATCTGATTTCGGGTGGTGCGTCTTCATTTGGAAAGCATTTTTATGGTCTTAGCATCCAATCTTTCAATGTCATTCAACTTTCATTTAATAATGTTGCAGATGTATGTTACTACAGATATAGATAAGGTGTTGATAGCCTTCATCTTATTGGCCCAATTTACTTCGCTTTCTAGTATCAAAAGCACACTTCTATAATATTCTTTCCGGATTTTTTTCTTCATAATTGAATGTCGTATTCCGTCACTTTCATTAATTAAGTATTTGTATGTACCATCTTGCTCTATTTCTTTAATCTTGTTGATATCAAAGTCTAAATCCGTAGTTTTCGTTAGTTTACTGCCTTTGAAAGTGAGTTTGGCACATTTATCGATTCTGAAATCCATCCTTATGTATTCGCTGAAGGTTTTGACAATGGTGAGCAGGTTTTTCTGCTGGTTGTCATCCTTGACAAACGTAAAAATGAATATCTTTGGAAGATCCCGCTTTCGATGTTGATTGGTTTCGATGTTAGTGACCCGTTTGTATTGTTAAGATTTAGTGTAGTCTTCCAGTTTTTCATGCTCTCTGTTATGAATTTGACCGTTTTTATTATTATTATTATTATTATTATTATTATTTGTGTATGTTATTGTGATAAAGTAATCGGGAGAAAACTCCATTGTTTTATGATTACCTCCCTTTGGAGAATTCTTTCGTTTGTAGAGGACTATAAATAGTCACTACGCATGTATCAATTATTCTATGCAGAATAAAGCTCATTTGGAATTACCGTCGGTTGATTTCATGAAAGTAAATTTTAGATTATATCCGCATTCGTTGTTATTGTTGGATTTTGTTATTGTGGAATTTGTAACATATTTTGCTGTTCGTTATTACGTGTTCGTCTTTTTATTTTGGTTTGTGACCGATGTCATGGGAACGCCAACGTTATGGCGCAGTCCCAGCCTGTCGACATCAACTGTTGAAACTCCCCACCAAACAGCCTCAAAGAACATTATGAAAGTTTCATATAAGGGAATGAAATCTTACCGGTTCCGTCGCTTTTGGAATCGGTGAACACTAAAACAATATCTCTGTTGACAACCGACGTTAAGTCTCGTAAGCAGATAGGTGTCAACAGGGAAATCATGAAAGAGGCACTAAAAAGCTTAAATAATATAGCAAAGGTGTTGGTGCGTCGTAGTAATGCAATGTGGGACATATTGCTCCCAACGGAAGAAACAGTGAGGCCCCTGGATGGGAATTTTCTGATTACAAAGCCAATAAGACTTCAAAGTGAATACATGGGACGTAGGAAGTTAATCTTCAGGGAGTACCACTATTTATTTCAGAGGACGATTTGGGATATTTTTCTATCCGTTTAAAGAAGTAGGAGAGGTATCGGTGGTAAAGAGCAAGACCGGCATTGCCACTGGTGACATCGAAATTTTAGTCACAGTGATTAAGAAAAATTTCACTCACATTTCGAACGTGTTGCCCTGTAGTGGCTGTCCTATCTAAGTAGTAGTAGAATGGCTCTGTTGGGCTTGTGGGGGCAGCTGACCATCTGTCAAAGGCATGTCCGGGGAAGAAGCCAGAGACTCAACCAAAGCCAGTTATAGTAGATGTGGACACGATCCCAAAGCCCGATGATATCCCAGGAAAGTAGACAGAAGTAGTAAGGAGGTGGGAAAAGACTACAACCACTCCCCACCAGCAGCAGGAACCAAAGGCGGTCAAGAAACTGACCTCAAAACCTGAACAAGTATAAACAAGCAGAAGCCCCATCTGGAGTGTCAGCAGAAGTAGGAAGAGCAACAGTCAGAGCAGCACCAGATTAAAGAGGTAGAAATGGAAGAGATGCGGCCACCTAGGTCCTCGTCCTTAAAAAGACGGAGAAGTAACAAGAAGCCTCCCTTCTTCCCTTTCTAAAGCTTCACTGACCGCCCCTCCAAACAAACCTCCGCCCAACACTCACAATACCCCTCCTTCGAACACACCACCAGACAATGCCCCTCTTCAAAACACCCCTTCTCACAACACCCTTCATCACAACACCCATCACCGTAGCACCTTCCAAAATGGAAAATCCTTTCCAAAGGGGAAAAAATCTTGCCATATAAACAGACAAGCATTGGAGTGTGATCTGCCCTCCCCTAAAAAACCCTTTTAAGTAGCTTCCATCGATGGAAAGTCAGTGGAACATCCAAGAAAGTTTCCCAATGTACCAGGGGTTATTACCTGGATCAGAAATACAGGGAAGGGCCTAAATGTGTGGGAGCACTTCTCTGAAGCTAAAGAAGCCCTTCCACAAATTCGAATGATGGAAACTGTAACACCAGATTTAAAAAAAAAATTGGAGAAATTCTGTGCTGGGAGGGTTCTTGTTATTCTCCATCCCACATTATACAGGGATCTCAAATTAACTTATCCCACGGACGTCCGCGGCATTGTCCTAGATGGTCGTATGACGACAGAGATGGGGACAGGGAGTCTAGGACTATCCGTCAGGGTCCTTTCGCTCGCAGATTTCCGTCCAGTCTGTGACTAGGGGATCCAACTTGAAAAATCTTAGATAGCTACCTGGATAGAATGTTAGTGAGAATGGCCGATATAGACTCTCTAGATTGTCCTACGTTCCGCTGATTAGGCTGTTCAGTCTATAGACTTGTCCTTGCTGACTCGATGCTAGGCCGAGAATGGCAGGACACTGGAATTTCAATCTGTTTTTACTGGATAGGGGGACTTCCAGCAACATCTAATTAGACTAGTGTAGCGGGAACTAGTGGGAGTGGTTATTGGGGAATAGGTGGTGGGATAGGCTTAAGGATAGGATTAGGTCTTTCACCACCGAGTATAGCCAGCGGCTCGTACTAGATAAGGCTAAAATGCTGAAGGTGCTCATGGATAGTCTGTCCCGGGAGGTGGTTGAGGGGAATTCCCTAGAAATAGGTTTACTTAGGAAGGCTCGGGAGTGGTCGGCTAGCTAGCGCTACCAGGGTCAGGTAGAGAGACATAGATATAAAGGACTTCGT